ATTAACAAGTCACACTATAATTTGTTAATGGTCCAAGTTGGACAGAAACGTTATTATGAGTTTCATTCTTCTAGTGCAGATTATACTTACAGTGGAACCTTGGATGGTGTTTGTGGATGATTGTGAAGAGAGTGGAGAGTTATGCTGTGGTCCTACTGGACTGAGGTGGATGGTAGAGGTACTGGTACTTAAGTCGATGGTTGTATTGGAGTGTGTATAAATTCTGTAATGGATTTCTGTTCTGTTTTACCCTTCAGTACATTATACAACTGACAGTAAGGCATCAGCTGCTCTAGACACCGTTTCGGTGTCCTCTTCAGTGAAAAAGTCTAACTGTAAGTCAGTCAGTCAAGTCAGTAAGTCATTCAGTCAAGTCAGTAAGTTATTCAGCAACACTGGTATGCCTGAAAAAGAAACAATAATAGCATGACACTTACCTTTATAGAAGATTCTGCTTAGTGTGTGGAACATAGGAGGGGAGAGGATGGATTAATTACTGTTTGAAAGGGAAATCCCCTTCCATGAAGACTTTAGGTACCAAGTGTTTTTCTGGGGTCACTTCCCTTCTTTGTTTTTAACCCCTTCAGGGTCCAAGGCCCAAATATGAAGTGGTGCCCCAGTGTCCAAGAATTTAAAAAAAAAAATTTTTTATTTTTTCTTATGAAATTTTAGAGAATCTTTTTGTGAAGGTAATAAAACAAAAAGTACGAAATTTGATGGAAAATTGACGAAATTATGCTCTCGCGAATTTTGATGTGTCAGCGATATTTACGAATCGGCGATTTTGCCGACTTTGACTCCCATTTTAGGCCAATTACATTATTCCAGTCAACCAAATTCTTAGCTATTTCACTAGTATTACTTCTATTCTATCGATTGAGCACAAGAAATCGCCAAGTCAACTGTTTCAACTACAAATTAAAGTGATCGGAAATTGTTAATTTGGCCAATTTAACACAACGTTCAAAATATTCTAATTTCAAAATGGGGTCCAGAATAAACAATGTAGGTATTCCTGGAACTAAACTAACATTTCCTCTGTTCATTAGTTACGTTTTGAGGCTTTACAAATAAATTCCATTTTGATTTTTTATTCACATAATGAATTTTTATTCACACCAAAAAATAGAAGATTTACTGTTATGCAATACTGTAATAATTGTATAAATATCATCACCATATTTGTGAATGCATATTAGACCCACCAGCTGGCATGTATTAGACGTGTGAGGTCGTTTGTTTACTCTTGAATATCGGCAAAAATTTAACATTTCTGCTACTTTGAGCTCAGTTTCAAGCCATTTCTAGTGCTAAAACCAATCAAAATCATCTCTATTTCTGTAATATGTCTTCCATTCTATCAAATGAGACCAAGAAATCGAAAATATAGCTATAAAAAACATACGAAAAAACACTGCAAAGTCGCTGTTTTAATCGAAAAATCATGATTTCAGTTTTTTTCTCTCATTATACACAGTGTGCTGCAGGATCTGTTTTATGTGGTGCACACATACCACATAGATGTATTCTCTCATATCTAGGCCCAAATGTACCACTCACAGTTTATCAGAGTGAGCTGAGCTCATGACGTAGATCTACGGTTTGGACCCTGAACGTAAAGCCATAGATCTACGGGACGTACCCTGAAAGGGTTAAATGCCACTAGGACCAGCTTGAGAGTCACTGCACACCTGTGGCACTAAATATTTGTCCAGAGAGCTCTCTTTCTGGCATCTCTTTAAAATTTCCCTAAAATAGGACAAGACATTGTCATTGTACATGTTGCCGACACGGCTTGCAAGAGCTTTGTTAGGGTGATGTTCCTCCACAAATCTTTCCATCCTACTCCACATTGCACAAATCTCCTTAATCTCTGAAGAAGGCATCTTCTTCCATCTCTCCCCCTCCTCCTCTGAAGCAGTTTTCTGAGCTGTGGTCTGTTGCTTTTCCAGATGAAGCTCTTGCAGCTCTTCAGTGGTTAGCTCTTCATTGTGGTCCTCCACCAACTCTTCCACATCCTCGCTAATCACATCCAACCCCATGGAATTCCCCAATGCCACAATAGATTCCACAACTGGCATAGGGTCCTCAGGGTCAGCCCTAAACCCTTCAAAATCCCTCTTTTGGCCACAGATTTCTTCAAGCAGAGTTCAAAGTCCTGGAAGTCACTCCCTCCTAAGCCTTACCTTTAAGGTTTATGCAATGGAGGATACTGGTAAGATCTTTCCAAAACTCTTTTAGGGTCAATTGAGTGTCTTGAGGTCACATCAAAGCACCTTTGAAACATTGCTTTGGTGTAGAGTCTTTTGAAGTTTGAAATGATCTGCTGGTCCATGGGCTGGATGAGAGGAGTGGTATTAGGGGGCAAGAACTTCACTGTGATGATACAAAACTCCTCCACCATTTGGTCATCCAAGTCTGGAGGATGAGCAGGTGCATTGTCCATTAGCAGGAGGCACTTGAGTTCCAATTTATTTTCCAGGAGGTATTTCTTCACTGGGGCCAAACACTTCATTGAACCAATCAAGGAAAATTTCCCTTGTGACCCATGCCTTACTGCCTTCCACATCACACACAATTTACTCTTGGCAACACTGTTTTTCTTGAACACTCCGGGATTTTCAGAGTGATACACTAGTAAAGGCTTCACTTTGAAATTCCCACTAGCATTACTACAGAACAAAAGAGTAAGCCTGTCTTTCATAAGCTTGTGTCCTGGTAGTACCTTTTCCTCCTGCGTGATGTAGGTCCTCCTTGGCATTTTCTTCCTAAAGAGGCTTGTTTCGTCACAGTTGAACACTCTTTGGGGTTTTAATTCTTCAGCCTCTGTGTACCCCTTGAATTCATGCACATATTTATCAGCCTAATATTTGTCAGAACTGGCAGGCTCACCATGCCTTACCAAACTGTGTATGCCATTATGCTTCTTAACCCTTTCAGGGTCTGTCCCGTAGATCTACGGCTTTGCGTTCAGTGTCCAAACCGTAGATCTACGTCATGAGCTCAGCTCACTCTGATAAACTGTGAGTGGTACACTTGGGCCTAGATATGAGAGAATACATCTATGTGGTATGTGTGCACCACATAAAACAAATCCTGCAGCACACTGTGTATAATGAGAAAAAAACTGAAACCAAGATTTTCGATTAAAACAGCGACTTTGCAGTGTTTTTTCGTATGTTTTTTATAGTTGTATTTGCAATTTCTTGGTCTCATTTGATAGAATGGAAGACATATTACAGAAATAGAGATGATTTTGATTGGTTTTCGCACCGGAAATGGCTTGAAACTGTGCTCAAAGTAGCAGAAATGTTAAATTTTTGTCGATGTTCAAGAGTAAACAAACGACCTCACACGTCTAATACACGCCAGCTGGTATATCTAATACACATTCACAAATATGGTGATGATATTTATACAATTATTACAGTATTGCATAACAGTAAATCTTCTATTTTTTGGTGTGAATAAAAATTCATTATGTAAATAAAAAATAAAAATGGGATTTATTTGTAAAGCCTCAAAACGTAACTAATGAACCGAGGAAATGTTAGTTTAGTGCCAGGAATGCCTACATTGTTTATTCTGGATGCTATTTTGAAATTGGAATATTTTGAACTTTGTGTTAAATTGGCCAAATTACCAATTTCCGATCACTTTATTTTGTAGTTGAAACAGTTGACTTGGCGATTTCTTGTGCTCAATCGATAGAATAGAAGTAATACTAGTAAAATAGCTAAGAATTTGGTCGACTGGAATGATGGAATTGGCCTAAAATGGAAGTCAAAGTCGGCAAAATCGCCGATTCGTAAATATCGCTGACACATCAAAATTTGCAAGAGCATAATTTCGTCAATTTTCCATCAAATTTCGTACTTTTTGTTTTATTACCTTCGCAAAAAGATTCTCTACCATTTCATAAGAAAAAATAAATTTTTTGGGGGAAAATTCTTGGACACTGGGGCACCACTTCAGATTTGGGCCTTGGACCCTGAAAGGGTTAAATCTCTCAAACCAGCCTTTGCTGGCCTTAAATTCTCTAACATCAGCACTCATTGCAGACATTTTCTTTATGAGATCAGCATGCAACTGCCTTGCCTTTTCAGAAATTATCGACTACATAACACTATCTCCTGCTAATTGTTTCTCGTTGATCCACACCGGCAATAACTTCTCAACATCTTCGAGTACTTGTGATCTTATTTCTATGAGCATATTTATCCCTTTTGCAACAACAGCTTCCTTGATTTCCTGTTTCTTGGCCACGATGGAAACGATGTTTGTATGGGGTTTCTTATACACCCTGGCAAGCTCTGCCACACTCACTCCACTTTCATATTTTTCAGTGATGTCTTTCTTGAATTCTATTGTGTTTCTCACCTTCTCTACCAAAGGCCTGGAACTAGGAGCTTCCTTTGGGGCCATGGTGGCTTATTTAGCAGTTGCAAGCACTAAAACGAATGGAATATTACGAAATGTATCGTATGAACACTTGGGATCATCCTCACTCACTAATAAACAATGGCACTCTGGCTGGGAATGGAGTGTGGGGCCCTTCGGGGCCATGCATACACGTCTGGGACGAACGACTATTTGTGAGTCAAACAACGATAAGCGAGTCAGTGTTTTGACGAAAAAACGTTGTACGTACGTATTTTTGAAAATTACGACTTCCGATGCTTACGAAAAATGAGGGTCCACTCTATTTATATTGTGACAGCCATGGCTTTTTATTCATTCTTTTTGTTTTGTACTGTATCATTGGTGTTACTTAAGCATTATTGTGAAAGATATCAAGACTATGATACAAAGCATTCACTGTTTCCATAAAAGAATGCATACTGTATTAATAAAAAATGTACTTCTCTTATGGAAAATATCAGCACTAAGAGTAAAAATCATAATACTGTACCACGGCTGGAATAAAATAATAGTGATTGAGTCGTGAACATCAGCAGTAAGTACAGTATTCATATTATGGACTTACGCTTATGTTTCAGAGACTGCTGGAGCTGGAGGATGGCATGGAAGAGGAGAAGAAGCAGTGCCAGTCCCGAGTGGAGACGCTCGAGTCCATTGTGCGGATGTTCGAGCTCAAAAACAGAAATGCAACTGACCATGGTAAGCTGCTGATACCATCCAGACTCTTGCTTCTCCCAGTGGTTGGTGTGAGTGTATTTATTGCTTTATCATGTACTTGTTAGCGTGATTTTTCTTAATTAAGTGCAGTACATTACCTTTGTGGTTTCCCACTCCATCTTTCACTTTGTTCGGCATCTTATTCATCTGCATAGCCCTCATATTCATCCTCGGTACCAACTGATCCCCATTATCACTAATTGTGCAAATTGCTGATGTGTTGACTACATACATGCATGTCATGTTTCCCATTTACAAATTAACATTAAGATCGACAACACTCTAATTACCAGACATAATGAGGGCAAATTCCTAGGCCTATACCTTGACAACAACCTGAATTTCAGCACCCATATCCAACACATAACCAAAAAAGTATCCAAAACAGTTGGGATCCTCTCCAAGATACGATACTACATGCCGCAAAATGCCCTTCTCACACTATACCACTCACTTATTTATCCATACCTCACCTATGCTATTTGTGCTTGGGGATCAACTGCAGCAACACACCTAAAGCCAATAATAACCCAACAAAAAGCTGCAGTAAGAATAATCACTAAATCCCATCCCTGGCAACACACCCCCCCACTCTTCATAGATCTAAACTTACTCCCTGTTCAGTACATCCACACCTACTACTGTGCAATCTACATCTACAGGACCTTAAACTCCAATATCAACCTTGACCTAAAACACTTTCTTGATAGTTGTGACAGAACCCACAGGCATAACACCAGACACAAACATCTCTACGACATTCCCCATGTCCGACTGAACCTTCACAAAAATTCAATGTATGTCAAAGGCCCTAAAATCTGGAACACCCTACCTGAGAACTCTAGAACTGCAGACACATTCATCACCTTCAAAACTACCATTAGAAAACATATTATCTCGCTGATAAACCCCATCAACTAACTACACGAATACCACCTGGTGGTTCACACTTACACTCACTCACCCATTTGACCATAAACAGAAATATTAATCTCAATCTTAAAATAATGAATCCTATGATACTCCAATACTGAAACTATGTACTGTGCCAAAACAAAAGCATTCACATTGCTAAACTCACAAACTAGTATTTAGTCACTTAGCCATAATACCAACTTACCTCATAATTTGTAATATTTTAAAATAAAGAATTAAACTAAGTCTGCCCGAAATGCCTAGCCATGCTAGGCGTTTTAGTGGTACACTCTGTAATCATTATTTAACTACATGTAAACCACACAACAACCAAATTCTGTAAATTCAACATTGTAATCTTTATAGAGAATAAACTTTGAATTGAATTGAATTTGTGATCATTTTCACAGCTAGTCTGAGATCTCTAATTGTACAGCTTCATAAATTCTTGCTGAATCATTGCACTTCTGGTATCCCTAGAGCCCTGTTTAGGTGCTGTCGTTAGTGATTAATGACATGGAAATAAATAAAAAATGCTTGGTAAACATTAGGTGAATAGTGCAAGAGTAGTGTAACAGAGATACCACATAATGGGTGGGAAAGGTTAGTTCTTGGATGGCATCACACTGCATTAACTTCCCTAGGCCCAAGTGAAACACCTCGAGAGTACATATTATTTAAATTTCTAGTATTTTCACCTGGGCTCAGCTGCATTTTGTGAAGGTGCAGTTTCAATATATAAACAGTCTCTTATAAAATTATTCAGCAAAACATGCACTGTACTTACTAGAATTTACTGTAGTACTTCAGTTGTTAGTAAAAGACTGACTAATAGAAGCATTTTGGGTAAGACATTCTATAAGAAGTTTTCCGCTGCAATGTTCTATTAAAGTTATGTTTTCTCTTATTGAAATTTTCTGAGTTAATATTTGCTACAAGAAATACTGTTTTTTTAATTAAATTACTGCAAAGTGCAATACAATACTGCACTATTCAGTACAAAAAACATTAAATCATTGTTATTCATCTGTAGCAAATCGGATGGAAGACAAATCAGAAGAATTGAAAAATGAGTATACAAAGCTGCACAATCGATATTCAGAGCTATTCAAAACTCACATGGACTACATGGAACGCACCAAGATACTCATGGGCACTGACCGACTCGACCAGCTTGGAACCTCCAGAGGCAGGATCTCTGGGTTTACCTTAGGCAATCTCAACAGGTTAGTAGAGAGGTGTTAATTGTAGCCAAAACCCTTGCCATCCTCATCCCCCATAAAACTCCCACAGAAATAGTAATTACCATAAATTTTTGAGAATCTTGAACAGGGATGGGACAATACTAAAATTTTTGCTGGTACAGTATCAATATGTGGTTTTAGGCCACCTTTACCTTTGATATACCTTCGAGTTTTGACGGTTTTCTACTCCCAGAGCCTAACCTGGGGCCTAGCTCATCTGGTGTTTCCCTGGTCAACCAGGCTGTTGCTGCTGGCAGCCTGCTGGCCCACATATCCATCACATCTTGGTTAATACCATTAAAACACAAATAACCCACACTTAGAAGAGAGGAGCTTACAATAATGTTTCGGTCCAACTTGGACCATTTACAAAGTCTCACTAATGAATAGGAGAGAAGGAGGGAGTATATATAGGCCAGCAGACAAGGATGGGACAAGAGAGGTGATAGTGGAGGTAGCAGTAGTGGTAGTGGAGTCAGTCAACTACTAAGAAAGAGGAGCACTGCAAGGGAGCTAGGGGCCTCTGTCAAGAAAAGTTTTTATCTCCCTCTTTCTCTGTGCTCTCTGCATTTGCGATCCTCAGTTCCTTGAATCAGAAATTTCCACTCCAAAATTCATTTTCCTGTCTTGGCTACCCTTCCCATTTCATAGACTCTGCCTTCTCACGTGCTAAATGGACTTTCTTCTCTCCCAAACTCTACTCCTGGGAACTGTCCTGTCCTCTGCCTTCTCTACATTATCAGTCTTTCTAATCTCAACAACTCGCTCTGTTCCTTAGACATCAAACTTACTTTTCGCCAGACTAACGCTCTTCGCACTAATCTAGTTCATACCTCTCCTCCCTCTATAGATGCTCCTGGTGTCTACTCTATTTCTTGTTCCTCCTGTCTTCTGCAGTACTTTGGAGAAACTGGCCGATCTCTTTCTAACAGACTTAGGAAGCACAAAAGTAGTGTTAGGCTTGCCGACACCAACAATGCTCTTTTCTGTCATGTCAGAGATCACAGTCATCCTATTGATTGGTCTTCTGCTAAAACTGTCTACCCCACTTCCAGCTTTCACAATCGCTGCCTGGTTGAATCCTCCCTTATACACAACTTTCCTTGTCTCTGTAGATGCCTTCCTTTCCCATTACACTGTAAAATGCTCCAAACTTCAGAACACCCGTGACTTAACCTGATTCTTCTTTTTTCCTCTTCTCCCTCTTCCTATTTCCTCTTTCTCCTTATGGTTTTCTTTCTTCTGCTTTGGGTATTTGTCCTTTTATATTTTTCCCCTCTCTGTGTTCTTGCTCTTACCCTCTGTGGGCCCCTAGCTCCCTTACAGTGCTCCTCTTTCTTAGTATTTGACTGACTCCACTACCACTACTACTACCTCCACTATTACCTCTCTTGTCCTGTCCCTGTCTGCTGGCCTATATATACTACCTCCTTCTCTCCTATTTGTTTGTGACTTCGTAAATGGTGCAAATTGGACCAAAACGTCGTCGTAAGCTCCTCTCTTCTGTGTGTGGGTTATTTGTGTATTGTTCCAGTCAGGGTATTGTGCCTTTTCTTGTTATTAACCCGTAAACGGTCCAAGCAGATCTACGTTCACATGTGTAGTGCTACAAAAGTAGATCTACGTTTTTTTTAAATATTTTCAAATATAACAAAAAAAAAGTAGATCAAAGTTTTTTTACACATTTTCAAATGTAAAAAAACAAAAAGAAGATCTACCATTTTAACATACTTTCAAATGTTGAAAAAAACGTATATATACGTTTGGACCGTTTACGGGTTAATAGTACCAAAATTAGCAGATGCCCAGCAATACTGGCACCAATATTGATGCAATCAGAACTAGCCAATACCAGGCTCAATTTTAGGATTCAGGGAAGCCGGTAGCTGGACTTGAGTCCTGGAGGCAGGAAATATAGTGCTCTCTGAAGGAGGGGCATCTGATTTGTAGTGTTGGTACACTTCTGGCCAGACAGTGATGGAGTGAGTGTTGGTGAAAGTGTTTCTTCTTTTTAGGGTCACCCTTCCTTGGTAGGAGACAGCTGGTGTTTTAAAAAACAAATGTTGATTTCCAGTGGTATGAGTATTACAAGCAGCACTTAATGTTTTATAAAAACAGATTCAGTACTATATATATATATATATTTTTTTTTAACCTGCTGGTCATCTCTTACCAAAGCAGAGTGACTCTAAAAAGAAACACTTTCACCATTATTTATGCTATCACCATCTTGACTCACAAAATCATAATGGCACAATTGTAAACAAACCATACCACGGGCGGGGATTGAACTCATGGCGAGTGAGTCATAAAACTCCTGGCCACGAGTTCAATCCCTACCTGTGGCTTATTACCGTCTTGCCAGAGGTGCATAGATACCACAGTTTAGATGTCCGTCTAAATATTTGCTTTTTAGATGTCCATCTAAACACCAAATATCCCAAATCCATCTTTTAGAGTGCCGGCACTGTACTTTCCACCTCCAGGACAAGTGTGAAAAGCATTTCTACACTGGCTACATGAGTGACAAATCTTGAAATGTGTATTAACATGCAGTGCAAGTTTCTTTTCAAAATGTGAATATTTTTAGTAGAGAAATGATACATAGTTACCAAAGGAAGGTTTGGGCATTGCTCATACACCATTCAGTTTGATATGCACCCGAAGAGTTTACAGTGGACTCCCGCATAACGATATTAATCCGTTCCTGAGAGCTCATTGTTATGCAAAATTATCGTTATGCGAATGAATTTTCCCCATAAGAAATAATGGAAATCAAATTAATCCGTGCAAGACACCCAAAAGTATGAAAAAAAAAATTTTACCACATGAAATATACATTTTCCTACACACAAAGAGAAGGATACATGCACAATAGTAGAGTAGTACATGCACAATATATATTGTGCATGTACTACTCTACTAAATGAAGAATAAATGACACTTACCTTTATTGAAGATGCAGCAATGACTGATGAGACACTGTGTCCTGGAGTGCCTTTTCCTCCTGAGTACTGTAGGTCCTGTTTGGCATTTTCTTCCAGAACAGGCCTTATCACACTGTGTATGCCACTACGATTCTTAAATCTCTCAAACCAACCTTTGCTGGCTTTAAATTCACCAATATGAGCACTAGTTCCAGGCGTTTTTCCCTGTTCACCTGGGTGTTAGTCGACTGGTGTGGGTTGCATCCTGGGAGACAAGATTAAGGACCCCAATGGAAATAAGTTAGACAGTCTTCGATGACACTGACTTTTTTGTGTTATCCTGGGTGGCTAACACTCTGGGGTTAATTGTTTCTTGGTATTCTCAATAAGCCACACCAACAACGGTGCTACAGCAGCAGCAGCAGCAGCTGACAGTGCTACAGCAGCAGCTGACAGTGCTACAGCAGCAGCAGACGATGCTACAGCAGCAGCAGACGGTACTACAGCAGCAGCAGCAGCTGACGGTGCTACAGCAGCAGCAGCTGACAGTGCTACAGCAGCAGCAGCTGACAGTGCAGCAGCAGCAGCTGACAGTGCTACAGCAGCAGCAGCAGCTGACAGTGCTACAGCAGCAGCAGCTGACAGTGCTACAGCAGCAGCTGACAGTGCTACAGCAGCAGCAGCTGACAGTGCTACAGCAGCAGCTGACAGTGCTACAGCAGCAGCTGACAGTGCTACAGCAGCAGCAGACGGTGCTACAGCAGCAGCAGATGGTACTACAGCAGCAGCAGCAGCTGATGGTGGTACAGCAGCAGCTGACGGTGCTACAGCAGCAGCAGCAGCTGACAGTGCTACAACAGCAGCAGCAGCAGCAGTTGACCATGGTACCACAGTATTTCGATAATATTTCTCACCCTTTTTACCACAGGGTTGGCACTAGAAGCTTTCTTGGGGCCCATGGTCACTTATTTTGCAGATAAAATCACCAAAAACGCTGTAACAATACGAAATGTTCCGATTGTATGCTTGGATGTTACCGCGGAGGCTGGCTTGTAAACAATGCCACCGGCGGAACATGTGAGGCTGGCTCAGGCCGCACATTAGACGCGTCTCAGACGAATAGTGTTGAGTGGGTTTTTTAGCGGTATGCGAGGCAAAATCTTAGCGATAAAATGTATCGGTATGCGGATTTAACGTTATGTGATGCCAACAGTATGCGGGGGTCCACTGTACATTATAATGCCCCAGCATGTTAGTGCCTTTCTTTATACTTAACAACACTTTTTTTTTTTTTTTTTTTTTATTCCTAGCAATTTAAGAGATGCCTATAAGCTTTCTATAATTATTTAAAATTATTACTTTTGTATACAGTAGGGCCTCGCTTTATGGCATTCCGCTAATACGGACATTTCAAATTATGACCAAGACTCACTATACAGCTCTCCCCACCTGACTTTCTAATACGGTCACTGCGCCCCACCCAGTTTGCTTACATTCTCTGTGAGCACCATGTCTCTCTATTATGTCTAGAAACTTCCAAAATTTCAAGTGTTTTAAAGTTATTTCATATATAATCCGGTAATTATATTTGTGTTCCTGTACCTAAGTAAACTTAAACACTGTGCTGGCATGCAGGTACACATTAAAATCACTAAGAGTGTCTTATGTCTTGAGGATGCCATATTAATAATAATAATACTCAATAATAATCACTCTGAAGAACATTAAATGTCATATATTATGAACACATTTTCATTAATTAATCTATGATATTTTTTCAACATTATATAATAAACATGCTACGTAACATATAAACATGATAAATACATCCCACAGTAGAATAAATTAGCATATGAGATGTTTTCCAGTCATCTTGTCGGAGTGTCAGAAAGAATAACGTTTTCTATAGTCAACACCAAAGAAAATGTGTGCACAATAATATTACTGGGGTTAACTGTAGAAAATTATTCCTCTTGTATGCCATCACTCAGAGCATCATTTCTTCTGAAAATGGTGTTACGTGAGAATGGGAGTGTTGCTCTTTATTTATTCTAC